TCCTAGCTAACAGGTCATCAGATTGGGACCTGGTACTGATCCTAGCTAACAGGTCATCAGACTGAGACCTGGTACTGATCCTAGCTAACGGTCATCAGACTGAGACCTGTTACTGATCCTAGCTAACAGGTCATCAGATTGGGACCTGGTACTGATCCTAGCTAACGGGTCATCAGACTGGACCTGGTACTGATCCTAGCTAACATGTCATCAGACTGGAATCTGTTACTGATCCTAGCTAACAGGTCATCAGACTGAGACCTGGTACTGATCCTAGCTAACAGGTCATCAGATTGGGACCTGGTACTGATCCTAGCTAACAGGTCATCAGACTGGGATCTGGTACTGATCCTAGCTAACAGGTCATCAGACTGGGACCTGGTACTGATCCTAGCTACTGATCCTAGCTAACAGGTCATCAGACTGAGACCTGGCACTGATCCTAGCTACTGATCCTAGCTAACAGGTCATCAGATTGGGACCTGGTACTGATCCTAGCTAACGGGTCATCAGACTGAGACCTGGTACTGATCCTGGCTAACAGGTCATCAGATTGGGACCTGGTACTGATCCTAGCTAACGGGTCATCAGACTGGGACCTGGTACTGATCCTAGCTAACATGTCATCAGACTGGAATCTGTTACTGATCCTAGCTAACGGTCATCAGACTGAGACCTGTTACTGATCCTAGCTAACAGGTCATCAGATTGGACCTGGTACTGATCCTAGCTAACGGGTCATCAGACTGGGACCTGGTACTGATCCTAGCTAACATGTCATCAGACTGGAATCTGTTACTGATCCTAGCTAACAGGTCATCAGACTGAGACCTGGTACTGATCCTAGCTAACAGGTCATCAGATTGGACCTGGTACTGATCCTAGCTAACAGGTCATCAGACTGGGACCTGGTACTGATCCTAGCTACTGATCCTAGCTAACAGGTCATCAGACTGAGACCTGGCACTGATCCTAGCTACTGATCCTAGCTAACAGGTCATCAGATTGGGACCTGGTACTGATCCTAGCTAACAGGTCATCAGATTGGACCTGGTACTGATCCTAGCTAACAGGTCATCAGACTGAGACCTGGTACTGATCCTAGCTAACGGTCATCAGACTGAGACCTGTTACTGATCCTAGCTAACAGGTCATCAGATTGGGACCTGGTACTGATCCTAGCTAACGGTCATCAGACTGGGACCTGGTACTGATCCTAGCTAACATGTCATCAGACTGGAATCTGTTACTGATCCTAGCTAACAGGTCATCAGACTGAGACCTGGTACTGATCCTAGCTAACAGGTCATCAGATTGGGACCTGGTACTGATCCTAGCTAACAGGTCATCAGACTGGGATCTGGTACTGATCCTAGCTAACAGGTCATCAGACTGGGACCTGGTACTGATCCTAGCTACTGATCCTAGCTAACAGGTCATCAGACTGAGACCTGGCACTGATCCTAGCTACTGATCCTAGCTAACAGGTCATCAGATTGGGACCTGGTACTGATCCTAGCTAACAGGTCATCAGACTGAGACCTGGTACTGATCCTAGCTAACGGGTCATCAGACTGAGACCTGGTACTGATCCTAACTAACAGGTCATCAGACTCGGACCTGGTACTGATCCTAGCTAACAGGTCATCAGACTGTGACCTGGTACTGATCCTAGATAACGGGTCATCAGACTGAGACCTGGTACTGATCCTAGCTAACAGGTCATCAGACTGGGACCTGGTACTGATCCTAGCTAACAGCTCATCAGACTGGGACCTGGTACTGATCCTAGCTAACAGGTCATCAGACTGAGACCTGGTACTGATCCTAGCTAACAGGTCATCAGACTGTGACCTGGTACTGATCCTAGATAACGGGTCATCAGACTGTGACCTGGTACTGATCCTAGATAACAGGTCATCAGACTGAGACCTGGTACTGATCCTAGCTAACAGGTCATCAGACTGGGACCTGGTACTGATCCTAGCTATTGATCCTAGCTAACAGGTCATCAGACTGGGACCTGGTACTGATCCTAGCTACTGATCCTAGCTAACAGGTCATCAGATTGGGACCTGGTACTGATCCTAGCTAACAGGTCATCAGACTGGGACCTGGTACTGATCCTAGCTAACAGGTCATCAGATTGGGACCTGGTACTGATCCTAGCTAACAGCTCATCAGATTGGGACCTGGTACTGATCCTAGCTAACAGCTCATCAGATTGGGACCTGGTACTGATCCTATTTAACATGTCATCAGACTGGAATCTGTTACTGATCCTAGCTAACAGGTCATCAGATTGAGACCTGGTACTGATCCTAGCTAACGGGTCATCAGACTGGGACCTGGTACTGATCCTAGATAACAGGTCATCAGACTGAGACCTGGTACTGATCCTAGCTAACAGGTCATCAGACTGGGACCTGGTACTGATCCTAGCTACTGATCCTAGCTAACAGGTCATCAGACTGGGACCTGGTACTGATCCTAGCTACTGATCCTAGCTAACAGGTCATCAGACTGGGACCTGGTACTGATCCTAGCTACTGATCCTAGCTAACAGGTCATCAGATTGGGACCTGGTACTGATCCTAGCTAACAGGTCATCAGACTGGGACCTGGTCTGCCTCGAGTAGCTCAGCTGTTTGAAGCGGACTTAGAAAACTTGTCCTCCCTTTTGGTCTGAATCCCCCCAAAGCCCCCCGATCGTTGAACAACATGCCACGACTCGTTTCTCAGCAGGAAAGACTCGTTTTCGTTCTTAGTTTGTGATAGGCTGAAAAAAAAATAAAGTTTAACCGTCTACATCTAATAATCAACATAATAACAGAACATTCTCTCGTCCCGTCTCGTTACCTTTTCTCTTCTTCTGTCTAATCTCACCTCGTCTCTTCCTGTCTCATCCCGTTACGTCCCGCCGATCCCCTTCATGTTCCGTCATGTCCTGTGATGTCCCCTTTCATCTCATCCTGTATCTTCTCATCTCTTCTAGCCGTTTGGTCTCACCTCTTCTCTTCTCGTCCCGTCTCGTCCCTACTCGACTCTTCTTACTCATCTCGTCTCTTCTTGTCCCATTGCGTCCCTTCTTAACTCTTCCATCTTGTCCCGTCATATGTAACGTATTAATTTATTAAGATGTTAATAAATCCTAATTTTTACCTCGGAATATAAAAATGGGGAACCATCTCTGGTGATGAGGAGGAGTTCAGCCGTAGTTGTAATAATGAATTAATCAATCAATCATATGTCAGAACGGCGAGCTCTTCAGGACAGTTTGAATCACAGAACACACGGAAAGCTCTGAAGGTTTACGTGTAACTTTAATGAAGTAATTGAACAATAATGCAGATTAATGAGATACATATCAATGAATATATATGGATGAGTATATCAATGAAACTATAAGGTATATGACATTGGTATGGTGAAGTTATAAGGTGAAAGTAACAAATGAAAACGAGAGGTTGGAATTGATTTAATGAAATGTGATTAACGAGTTTGTATAAAAGATCTGGACTCGGCTTTTGATGTTGGACACTTTAAGACCCTTCTGGTTTTAAACACGAGCTGAGAACGCAACCTTACTTTGGATTGTGTTCGCTGCGGACTCCTCCACGACTGGTTCAGCTTTCAAAGGTACCGGAGGGGCGGCTCAGAGAAGAGCGATCAGACCCGCACAATCAACTCTCTCTCTTGGGAATAAAAAAAAACGACTTGGACGCGGGGCTCCAAGAGGGAGACGAGCTCCGGTGCTTTCTTGCACGAGGAAGAATGTGCAACTTTTTGATCCAGCAGATGTCGCCCTTGAGCACCAGCATGAAACCAAAACAACTTGCGCTGCATCGTTGTTAGCATGCTAAGTAGCTCGTAGCTTCACACCGCATGTAAATTTACAAGAAATGACCGTGATCTAAAAAAGCTTAAGTGACATTCAAATAATCAGTGAGTACAGTATGTTATTCTTCTTTTCTCTTGTCCCTCAATTAAACAACTTTTATACACGAGGGGAGGAGTCAGCCGGCCGTCCCGTCCATGTCAACACGTTGTAGATACGGCTCTGACATCATCACAGACAGTGGGACTCGGGTGTCACACTCATTGTAGACAGTCATGACTCACAGAGGTTTTTTAAAGGATATACTGGATTTCTGCTACATTTATGTGTAAAATGTTGAATATTCAGCCTTTAAACACGTATAACGTCACCATACCTTAACTAAAAATGAGTATTCTGAGTTTCGACATTGCAAGAGTAATCTAACAATTAGTAGAATACTTTTCTCATATAATCTGTTAGACAAGAAAACAATGTATTAAGCAGTAACAAACTTATGAAGTCATAAAACAGAACTATGAAATATGGAAATAGTAATTCCTAACGAACACATCATAATCTATAGTTATAACAGATCATCTGAGCCTCACATGGTCTAAATATATATGTGATTATAGGTACTTACATGTCCACAAAGAAAACAAACACTAGATGGCAGTAGCGCTCCACCTTACAAATATTCTCTGAAAATTCATTTAGACAGCTGTTACTTAATTTGAGTATTTTAGGTCGTATTAACACCAGAATCAGGTTCTTCAGTCACATTTGATCTCATAAGTATATATACATACATATAAAGCAGAAATTTAATGGTCTCCAATCGTCTCGTTTCCAATCGTCTCGTCTCCTCTCATCTCATCTCGTCTCGTCTCGTCTCGTCTCGTCTCGTCTCGTCTCCTCTCCTTTCCATTCCTCTCGTCTCGTCTCGTCTCCTCTCGTCTCGTCTCGTCTCGTCTCCTCTCGTCTCGTCTCGTCTCGTCTCCTCTCGTCTCGTCTCCTCTCGTCTCCTCTCCTCTCGTCTCCTCTCGTCTCCTCTCGTCTCCTCTCGTCTCGTCTCGTCTCGTCTCGTCTCCTCTCGTCTCGTCTCCTCTCGTCTCGTCTCGTCTCGTCTCCTCTCGTCTCCTCTCGTCTCCTCTCGTCTCGGCTCCTCTCGTCTCCTCTCCTCTCGTCTCCTCTCGTCTCCTCTCGTCTCGTCTCGTCATTCATCTCCTTCTCCAGCTTCTGTCTGTGCTGCAGTGACGGCCGACACGTTCTCATACACGACATTTAACTGAGGGCAGAGGATGAGATTTGATCAGAAATATATTTCATCAATGATGGAGAGAAAGTCAGTAAGACCTCTCTCTCTCTCTCTCTCTCTCTTTTTCTCTCTCTGTCTCTCTCTCTCTCTCCCTCGCTCTCTCTCTCTCTCTCTCTCTCTCTCTTTTTCTCTTTTCTCTCTCTCTGTCTCTCTCTCTCTCTCCCTCGCTCTCTCTCTCTCTCTCTCTCTGTCTCTCTCTCTCTTTTTCTCTCTCTCTCACTCTTCTCTCTCTCTCTCTCCTTCTCTCTCGCTCTCTCTCTCTCTCTCTCTCTCGCTGTCTCTCTGTCTCTCTCTCTGTCACTCTCTCTCTCTCTGTCTCTCTCTCTCTCTCTCTGTCTCTCTCTCCTGTCTCTCTCTCTCTCGCTCCCTCTCTATCTGTATCTCTCTCTCTCTCTCTCTCTCTGTCTCTCTCTGTCTGTCTCTCTCTCTCTCTCTGTCTCTCTCTGTCTGTCTCTCTCTGTCTGTCTCTCTCTCTCTCTCTCTCTGTCTCTCTCTGTCTCTCTCTCTCTCTGTCTCTCTCTCTCTCTCTCTCTCTTACCTCGATCATCTCTGCAGGTTCGTCTGGTTCAGTGGTGGAGTTCACAGTTTTCTTCCACCTGGGTTAAATCATAAAACAATAAATTCCCAGTTTAACATGATGGGAGTCATCAACAACAGAATGAATGTTGATGGTTTTACCTCAGCCACAGAGTCAGGGGAATCAGAGGACTCAACAAGAGGAGCAGCAGAGTCCACCTGGTGATGATTTTTAGTGAGTTCCCTAAGAATGAAAGAGCGATATGTGAGACACTTCACTGGAAGGATTAGACAGAAAAATTTCATTTCAGGAAGATTGCTCCTGATATCCTCCTGATCTGGTTTGCACCTCTCAGCCTGAACACTTCAGGAGGTTTTCAGTTTTGTGTAAAGTGTGGAAGCACTTTAAGAGTTGGTGGTTTGGGTGATTGTTCAGTTGGTAGGTCGGTAGAATGGACTGTAAATATGAATGTTTGAAGCCTGAGTGACGTCCCCCCTCTGTTCCTGCAGGGGGCGCTGGAGTCCCATCGATGGCGGTCTCCATGCTGGAAATGCTGTCTCAGTCTAACTTTCAGTCAACCTAACGACCGGCTGAGAGCTGGAGCTGAGGCGGGTTTTAAACCTCCTGACAAACCGTTACACCGCGCCCACCTGTCAATCAGGTCAGCTACACGCCTTATTGTGAATAACTCTTATCCTTCATCAAATCAAAACTGATGAGTCATCAAAACATTCACCCCCCGTACAGTGTGTGTCCATCGAGACATGAGCTAATCACACCTATTTGGTTTTTTGAACCAGGCTGTAAACATGTTCATCTCTGCTGTAAAAACAGGCTTTTTAGAATGGGTGTGTATGTGACTTCCTGTTCTTCTGTAGCCAGCCTCTAGTGGACAGTCGAGGAACTGTAGGATTTAACACTTCAGCTTGGTTGGTAGGTAGCAGTAGCTTCATCTCACTCTATTTAATGATGAGTGTTTGACTCACATGTTAGGTTGACAGAGATGCGTTTGGAGGTCGTTCTCCCCAGCGTGTTCTCAGCTTCACAGTAAAACTCCCCAAAGTCAGAGGACTCGATGGAGCTGAAGACAAGCGTAGCTCCTGGATATGTGTGATTAGGGTTTAGAGGTCCATCCGCCTTGTACCAGGTGTAATTAGCTGCTGGGTTAGCATCACTGCTACAGGTCAGATTGACTGAAGTGCCCTCCACTATCTCATCGTGGGAACTCACTGACACAGAAGGAGGCTTTGGAGCATCTGGAGGAGAATCAGAGAGACCTCACATCAGATGAAGGTGGACGTGTTATATTGAACAGCTTTGGTTCTGAAACTGACGATCATACCTGCTGAATAAAAGTTTTTATATTTGCAGAAAAATGTAACAGTGAGACAGATAATCAGGAAACTCTCTGATAACCTGCACATATGAAAATGGAGGTACCATTTAACCCTCTGGTATCACTCAATGAATTTTTCAGTTTCCTTTAACAATCACTTTGACTGTGTTAGTGCATATGGCATGATACATTTTGAAATTCCAATTTAATTTTTTTGAATAGTTCTATGATACACTGAGTACAAATTTACTACCCTCTTGAGCCACTCGTTGACAGAAATATCCGCTCCCTAAAACAGCTGTGAAGATAATTAGAACAATGTTTTTTTTCCACTTTTTTGGGTTAAATCTTTCAATCAACTTCAGTCCTAATCAAAACTATCAAATATTCAATTATTTTCAGGATTTTAACCCTTTAGATGCAAGTTTTATAAAATGATGTGCAAACAAATCCAGAGCATTCAGGACCAGAATCTAAAGTTAGAAGGAGGACATACTGCAGGGGTCATCAACTACATTTGCACAAGGGCCAGCTTTTTTCTTGATAGACACCGTGGAGGCCGGACTTTCAAATATGCTAGCACATAAGTCTGATAGCCGTGAAGCCCAGAAGGTAGTGTCAGAGAGACAGTGTCATTTCTGAAATTAACATAATGTGAGTATTCCAGTGTCCTTCCGACACAAAATTACACAAATAGTGTTTTTGTGTCGCATACACATCTGTTACAGTACATTTAATTAAGAAGGCATTATGTTCTGTTGAATCAAGATATTTAAATCACAGATTGAATAATTTTATCAGATTGTAAGGACACACTCTCTGGCTTCTCACTGGGGTTGGTGAATGAATCACCTAAGTGCAGAGTCAGGTGTGTTTGTGGCTGATTGGCCTTGATTAAAACCAGGTGTGGGGAGCTTCTATATACTCCTGGAGTTCAGTGCTCTGTGCTGACTCATTATCTCACCTTCAGAGGTAGTGAGAGCTTCTCCCTGTGGTGTCTCTTGTTGTCTGTGTGTTCATAAACACCAACAAATAACTTCCTGTGTATTTGTGTCTATTACCAAAGTAACTTGGGGTGCTGGGTAGTTGATATACCCCAGCCTTTTGTGTTGAGTTTGAAGGCCTTCCTGGCAGCCTTTACTTTCGTGAATTGTTTCTGGGTCTCCCGGTCAATTTAGTTTTGAGTCAGCTGCCTGGCAGCAGTGGTTTAGTTGATCATTTTCTGTGCATTAGTTAGAGGAGTGTTTTGGCTCTAGACTATTTTCATTGTTCCCTACCCCCCCTCCAATCTATCGTTTGTGGTTATCCTTCTTGGATAACTTTAAGACACCCCTGGGTACGCACCTGTGTCCCACTTTCCTGTTTTCCTGACACAGATCAGGAAATTGAGAAATTGTAAATATATATTTGCTCGCCTTTATTGTTTTAAAGGTAGCAGTGCCCAGACCCCCCCTGCATTATAACATTATAGACTAATAACTAAAATCCAACAGAGAATTTTTATTTGATAATAATATTTAATTAAATTATTATTCCTCAAAACAATTTTTCTCTTGATTTAGCTTTGAAAATATTAGACACTGAATACAATCAGCCTGTTTGTTATTGGACGTGTTTATCTCTGACTGCTCCTGCTGCACCTGATGGAAGAGAAAAGTGGAGCGTGCATTTAGCGTGCACTATATCTGCAGTGTTTAACGCAGCGCTGTTTCACAGAGTCTGAATGGACAAGTTCACAGACTGACTGAGACTAGGGCTGCACGATATATCGTTTCAGCATCGTCATCGAGATGTGCGCATGCGCAATACTCACACCGCAAGGATATGCGATGTGAAGAAAAAACAAATCTGTCTGGAGCCAAAAAACATATTTGAGCCTTTCAATGAAGTTTATGTATCCTGTCTAAGCCCGTTCACATTACTGATAGATCTAAATGAGTATATATTTATATCTTTTACCACATTATGCAACAACTCTCATAGTGAGAACACCTTCTCAGCGCTCTGTCATCTCACCTGCTGTTATCAGGGCCGGGCAGAGCGACGTGCAGCGTGAGTGGTCGAGCGACTGAGAGAGAGAGAGCGGTGAATGTGAGCGGAGAGGAGCAGGGATTTATACAATCTGACAGTTTGCTTTAGTTAATATCACATAAGGGGCTTTATTTAACACTTTCAGGGTTAAAGGCAGCGGCCTCCAGATCTGTGCCTTCAACTTTGTCTTCAGTCAGAACGGGCTCTCGGTTTTGTTTTGGAGGTCTAAGTTTCGATCTTCTGATAGCCCATTTTATTGTTTATTTCACGTCCTCCTTCCCACGCCTTATGATTCCATGAGCTGCCATAAAACTTGAAACAGTGGTAGTTTAATGTCGAAGTAATCCGTTGCTTAAAGTTTGCTTTGCTTCCTGCAGAAATCACAATTTTTCTCTTTCCGAGGTGGACCATCTTCACAAAATGCATTGTGCTTGTTCTAGAAATGTCTCTAAACATTACTCTTCATTGATTCACATCTCTGGCAGCTGATTACTCAAGACTACAAAAAAGTCAAAACGCAGGAGGAGGACAAACTCTGTGATCCATTGTGCGTCTGCTCAGCCTGTGTGTGTCTCTCTCTCTCTCTCTCTCTCTCTCTCTCTCTCTCTCTCTCTCTCTCTCTCTCTCTCTCTCTCTCTCTCTCTCTCTCTCTCTCTCTCTCTCTCTCTCTCTCTCTCTCTCTCTCTCTCTGTGTGTGTGTCTGTGTAATCATCATTTCAGGGAGAATTCAGCTGAACAGAGTGAAGCAGTTAACATATATCGCAGGAAACAAAAATATTGAAATGTCATTTTTTTCTCAATATCGTGCAGCCCTAACTGAGACTACAGCAGGCTGTGACGTTGCTATCTTAAGTTAGTCGAACCGACCGTTTGAGCGGATCATTTGATCATACTGACATACTGGCTGCTGCATTGTTGTCAGAGAAGCCAGCACTTCAACATAGCATGTTTCCTTAATGTCTGATCAGATAGTAAGCTCACTTTATCATCTCACTCTCTACACATCTCACTGATTGGACCTTTAAAGGCTCCGTGTGATGGTGTGAATCAGTGAAGACTGTAAATAAACTCACACACTGGAGGAGACGGGAACTTCTCATGTCCTCGTACAGCACAGGAATAACTGTCTGTCTGAAGAACCTGCTCTGATGAATAAAGAGTGATGTTTCATTTTTGATTTCCTCTCCATTCTTGAACCAGATGTTTCTCAGAACATCCGTTGAGACACAAAAGAAGAGTCGAGCCGCTTGTCTGATCACGTGCACCTGGAGATCTGAACATGTGTAGAAATATCAGCACACAAACATGTAGTAAATACATTAATATACAACATATTATAAACTGTGAGCTCAGAGAATAAAGTGTGAAATATTACCTGTGACATCAGGATGACCCCAGATCTACTTAAATATCTGCTGATGTTTGTTTTCAATATGAACTGTATACAGCCTGTCTGTCTCTCTCACGTCTGTGATTCTCAGAGTACAGTTGTTCCCCACACAGGTATTCTGCACACGGCCTGAATACTTGGAGTCTTCTTTAACATCCACTTTATATTCAGGATCATCAGTAGACCAAAATGTTTCCTGAAGTGTGTTAACTTCCTCGTTTATTCCCTCTGGGTATGGAAAGGTGCAGCTCATCTCCACAGTCGATCCTTTACGGGCACAGATCTGCAGAAGAGTACGTCACATCCCAGAGATCCTGAACCGCTGAAACACAGAGCACATCAGGAACAACCATCAACATTCATAACTTTCAGAAGAAAAAATAAAAACCTCAACATATCTCAACGTCTAAAAATCATCTGATCACGATTCTATCCAACTGTAATCATTTTAAAGACTCAAAAATGTAAACAGGCTTTTTTAGTATGGGTGTGTATGTGACTTCATGTGCTTTTCTGCAGCCAGCCTCTGGACACCCGAGGAACTGCAGGTTGTTGTTTTGCATCGGCTTCATTCGTCAACACCGGAGGATGCTGCTTGGATAAGATCTGACACTTTGAAGAAGGAAGTAGCAGGGTTTAGTGTGGATGTGTGATGGTGGAAGATATTCACTGTGAGACAAGTTTCCACCCACAAAAACTATCAGGAGATAGAAACTGTATTAGAGAGAACCTGAGAACAAACTCTGCTTTAGAACAAACACTGCAGGGGTAAAGTCTGAGAGCATGAATAATAAAACACATTTTAATTTGTGGTATCTAAGAGTGATAAGCAGACTTGGTTTTTGGTATATGTCAAGAAAAAGAGGTGACCTTCCTTTTAGACGTGAAAACGGATGATTCAAACTAAAGTCAGAAAACGACTTCATGTGTGGAGATGTCACATCACAGAATACGAGACAGTGTTTGTAGTATTTCTGAGAGTATCAGGGATCCTGAAACACAAAGTGCAGAACAAAGCACTAGTGTTGTAGTACTCCAAATCAGTCTTGGTCTCAGGACCACTTTTTGAAGGTCTCAGTCTCAGGATTTCAAATAAAGACCGGTCAAGACCACCACTGATCGGCTATTTCTCCACGTCATCACTGAGATCAGAAGGAAAACGTCCTCTTTTTAAAAGAACAAATAACTTCAATTCATTTCTAGTTTGATTTTTTCTCCCCCGGTTACGGCCGCAACCTTCCCGGTGTTACACTTCCATCGCTGCAACACCTGTTGGTTTGACCTGATAACTGCTCTCATATCTGACAAACCGAGGGCATCCAAAACGGCCGTGTGGGGGTGTCTTAAAAGCGCCTACTTTATCTGGTCCAAACAAATCCAGAGCATTCAGGAGCAGAATGTAAAGTTAGAAGGAGGACATACTGGCTGCTGCATTGTTGTCAGAGAAGCCAGCACTTCAACATAGCATGTTT